TAAGGCGTTGCCAGTGGCTCGGATTAATGAGCTAAGACAGCGGATGGGGATGTCATGGCAGCCTGACTCAGTTGACGAGGTGCATGAGGAGGACAAGGGCATTGTTGCGCCTCGTGCCATGAAGTTGGTCGCGAAGTACCACCTGGAAAAGGCCATGAGGCTTGTTGTGGTGCTGTCGGCACTCAAAGAGGTGCATGGAGCGATGGCGGAGAACGTCACCAAGAATGTTGATGAGAATGTTTAGGGTGACCAGATCTTGTACCTCCTCAGCGTCATGATGATGTTGCTGGGAATGGTGCTCATGAAGGTCATTCAAAAATGCCGCGTGCATTGGAACCGGGTGGAGGACGATCCGGCGACGCGTAGAGTGAGGGTCTCTCGCTTGGCTGGTCAATCTTCTTCCGGGACAAGGACTTCTACCAGACCTCAAGGAGGAGGAGATCGAGAACCACGTCAACGTGATGGAGAATGGCAGCAAATGAACCATGGGGGGCAGAGTGCTTCATCCTCATCACCAAGAAGTACCAGGATGAGTGGAGGCGTTGAAGATGGACATCAAGGGAGAGCGGATCCCACGCTGAACGAGCCACAGGAGGAACCGCCGAATCAAGCTGATCTACTTGGAGGGCATCATCTACAGATCACCCTGACCGGGAGGAGGAGGCGATTCCCCAATGAGCCAACGTGGAAGATCTGGTTCGCGGAGTCCAGCAAGTGCTTCCATAGACAGCGAAGCTGCAGGGGATTGAGGAAGGCCAACCGAGTTCATGAACAGCCGGTGTGTGGGGCTTGTCAGAGGGCCACTAGAGGTTAGAGAAGTCTTCAGGAGACGAGCTTCATCTATGAGGACCAACTCGGCAACTTCCACACCGACGCTCGGTGCAATGCGGTCACGGGACCCATGACTGAGATCCGACAGTGCAAAGTCTGCGGATCCTGAGGCGGCTTGAGCCTAGAGCTCGCTTTTGAAGGTTGGTCTAATGCTAGAAGCAGAGACCAAGGAGGAGTGCACGTCCGCAAAGGATGACACGCACAAAACGAAGGGTGTACCAAAACGGACACTTGAAACAAACCCAACTGAGACGGTTGGAAGCCGCTTTTGCACAAGCCTGAAAAAGGTCTTCAGGCTGAAACCTTCAGTTTCAATGCAATATACTGCAATGTTTGCTCCTCTTTAGGTTCACTGGCTTTCACTGCTCAGCTTCCAGGAGGCTTGGCGAAGTCAAAACAAACAAAGCTCCGGGAGTCCAGAGTCCACGTGTCAATACGGGGAATGCCGATTCGGTACATTGACGTGATCGACAAGTGTAATTAGATAGTCTAAACAGGTAAACATCATACTTTGAACAATGCACTAGCTAGTTGCCTGTTTTAGTACAGTTCGCACTTCGCGTCGGTCACAAGTCCCGGTCGGGAACATAGGAGGGAAGACTAGATGCAGTAGCAAGGCACTTGAGGTTGTATAAAAACCCCCTATCCTTTTGCCTTACCACTTTTGGCGTTATCGTTTTCTTTTCTTCCTTATCGTTTTACAGTACTTTGACTAACTGCAACATATGTAACATATGTAGTATACATGTGTGTGTGTGCACTGCGTGCATGTGGTGTGGAACCTGCAGACATGAAGACATTAGGTACAATTCCCCATGCTGGAGTCCATGCTAGAGTCCCCAGACAGAAGATCTTATTGCTGTCCATGGCGCTCACATGTGGTGGCCTACCTACACAAAGGTCTTTTAGGCTCGCTGCGTTATCGTTTTTGTTATCGTTTTGTTATCGTTTTGGCGCCTGGTGCAACTAGGATTTTTTTACAGATTCTGCCCTAAAGAACGGGAGATGGTTCAGACTCTGTTTGTCGAGCAGGGACTGTTCTTTCGGAGGCCCAGGAGACACTCCTTGTTGCTCCCTCTGTGAGGACGTAAGCCTAAAACCACAAATAGAAACATGCCAAGGGATTTCCACGACAATCATCGGGGGTTATCGTTTTTTTTCTTCCTTATCGTTTTACAGTGGTTTGCAGATGCTCCAAGAAAAACGGACATGCGAATACTAATTCCCTGGGTGGGGGGTTTTTATAATCTCTCACTTGTTTCTTTAATGCTGTATCTGCCTCGCTCTTCTACACCCCCACAACATGTTCAAAAGCACGTGTATCCGGGCGCTTCCTGCATGGGACCGCCGGTTTCTTCGTAGAGTTTCCGCGACTCGGATGGCGGGAAAAGGAAGAACCTCAGCGCAGCAAGGCAAACCATGGCATTCATCAGCCCGGCTCTGAACAACTGGCAACCTACATTGGTTTTCCAAGAAATGGATCACAGCACACACATCTGAACGCATATTCATAATATATATATATATGTATATGTTATTCAAATTTGTTGAGTATCCTGTACTATTGATGTCTGTCGCTTGTTTAAGTGTGATCTATGTATCTGAGATTTGTGAACGTGCACGCTAGCTGCTAGCGTCTGACCTCTAAAGACCTGGGCCATTTCCTCAAAGCTTTGGGCGTAATGATGCGTAATGCATCGTAATGCATCCAATGCCTTTATATGCCATTCAAGTGACACTCTCCTGCCCTCGATCTGATTGAACCAGCTATGGGCTCCAGCCACCTCTACCTCGACGCAACAACTTCACCCGGGTTGACTTCCAAAGGCCGATGTTCACAGCATTTGGACTAGTTGCATGGAGTCTTGTAATGGAGCCTGTTGCTGCAAGAGTCACCTGGCGACTGCGAACGGAATCCGGTTCAGCAGAACAAAACACTCCCTGCACCGTACAAACCTGTTCACAAAACACTCCCTGTCACAACACAATGATAGAACACATTGCAACCAGTACTCTTGGATTTTTGTTCACAAAACGGCGATTATTTCACTTGATAAAATAAAGGTAGCGAAACGAATGACCTGTCCGACCAGGCATCCCTATACAGCTGCCGGAACATGGACAAAGAACCACTGCTTCCTTTGATCAGTGGAGCCAGTCGACATGATCGACAATATTGAGTTGATTCCAAATGGCCTTGTAAAAGCGCGAGAGCGTCTCCACAGGATCTTGCAAAGAAAATGCGTGCGCAAAAACTTGAGCGAACCTGGCCAAAATATGTTCCACATCAAATCAAATGTCAGTCCTTCCACTCTTGAGCAAGCGGGAAAAATCACTGACCGGTCCCCTCATCCTATCCTGCCTGGGCGTCATGTCAGGCAACCCTTCGGGGCCCAACTTGGTCCAGCACTCATCAAAGAATTTCCTGTCAAGGTGTTTGGCACAAGAGTGCCAACAAATATTAGATAGAGTATGATAGAGTTAATTAATTATTATCACGTGAGAAACAAGTTGTAGACTCATTGCAAATACTATGACTATTGAACTGGACTGGTAGTGACCACGCCAGGTTGCTGGATTTCTACATGGGCTTCATGGAGGAGTGAGTTCCACAATCTGAAAACGAACAGCACATTGATGCGGCTGAGTCTCCGCATGACACCGAAGAATGGGGCATAGCCATCCATGGTGAGCCGTGGAAAGGCGATACTCTTCTCCTTGGAACAAGGGCGAATGGCGAACCGCCGGCTGCATTCCGCAGCATGAAGGGGTCGTGCAGGATTATGCAGGGAAATTGCAGCATGTTGCCGTTATCGAACCTAGCAAGCCCGATTTGCCAGGATAATGACCAGCTTCTGCCTTGACTGATCGAGCTTTGACAAAGGGGTGACGTTCTGATCATGGACTCTTTTTCTTGTCGGGAAAACCGCTTTCACTTACTGATCTTTGGTGAGGGTTGTTTGAACCCCCTGGCAAAGGTAGCGGAGAAATATAGTATATATATTGCTCCTAGTAGCGATGCCCATTGCTCCTAGTAGCGTCCTTGCTCCTAGTAGCGATGCCCTTTGCTCCTAGTAGCGTTCCGCCAAACATATTTGATCATATTTGCTCTGGCTTTGTCTCACAGCGGGATTTTCGCGGCCACTCCTGGTCACATTTGCGGTCCATTCGCTGTAGAGTTCGGGCGAACTCAACCTGGTCAAAGAAATGGACGGTGCCACATGTCTGTGCTTGTCCTAATGTAAACATTAATGAACACGTCTAATATGTCATCTTTCATTGTCATCATGCTTCCACTTCCCAGTCATGCACGTTTCCATCAGCTTCTCCAGTTAGCTACGAAGCCAAGAGACATACTCAGCTATACTGACATGAAGTGCCACTTGGTCGATGGCCTCACTGACTCACTGACACTGATTTTCCATCTCCTTGCTCCCCCTTTTTGAGCACAGCTGGTTCACTAGGCTCACTACCGCTTCATCGCCATCCTTGGCAATTCGCTAGAACTCCTAGCCCCTTCATGTACTGATTTTGCAGTTTCAGCTAAGCTGCAAAGGCCGGGAACTGTGGCCGGCAAAACCTTTCACGAGGTCGGACGATCTGCGAATGCGACTGGATGTCAGGCATATTTTGGCCCCGAAATTCTTCCATTCGCAGCAAGGACGCTACTAGAAACAAAGGGCATCGCTTCTAGGAGCAAGGACGCTACTAGGGGCTCCTGGCATCGCTACTAGGAGCAAGGACGCTACTAGGAGCAAGATTCAATAAGACTTCTCATGATATCATCATGTCTCCACATAAGCAATTTGGCGCCGCAGAAAGACTTCAAATCTGTGAAGCAACCACTGCAACCCCCACCTCAACAATCATGATTGGATTTCTCAGACGCATATGCTGTCAAATGTTGGCATATGCATATGTACCCTTAGGGATTCAAAGCGGAACCACGCGGAACCCCAAAACATGCGCTTCGACTCTGCTTGGTGCGAAGCGTTGGCGACTTTTCAACTCCAAGCGACCAATAGTCGTGACCACAGTCCCGCTTGAAATAGTCCAAATTCCAAAATCGAGCATACCAATCACCTCGGCAATGATGTTGCTAACCTGCATTGGCTAATTTTTCAAGCTTCCAAATTCCAAACTGTTTGAAATTTTGAAAGCCAGGAAGCGTGGCTTCTCTAAAAGGACTGGCTCGCTTGGCATCCCTTGCAATGAGCGGAGGCGTGACACCTCTGTACCTGGTGAAACCATGTTTCAAACAGCGAGCTTGACAGGAGAATTTTATTGCCTTTTGGTGTTCAAACACTCATACTCATACTGCATACTCAAATATCATACGCCAGACCAGGGGCCACAAACGCTATGAGAACGACCATGACATCCTCTCGAAATTGTTGGACAAATCGAAATGATTGTGCAACACGCGAAGGAGAGGCCATTGGCGGCCAAGGTGCACTCAGCTACGCTGGTAAGGCGAGGATTCCTCAGATCTGTTTCATCCAGTTTGAAGTAGGCCAACACAGTTTCATGTGTTTCATCCAGTTTTCAGATCTGGTAAGGTGAAAAAGTGCTTGCAGCATGACAACACATGGCAAACACATTTGAGATCCTTTCCAACATTAACAGTGCAACATATCCAAGCATCCTGTACCAGTCCTCTCGCACGCTCTGCAAATATCGGCTGAACGCTGCCTGAGCAAACACAGCTCAAATGCAATACTGTTGCTGCTATTGGACCGGTGAACTAGCCATAGCGCAAGGCATTCTAATGCATTCTATGTGGTCTGTACCTGGTTCAGGGCTCCACCCACCGTATGCTATGAGTTGTAGGTTGTCGGCAAGTGACATATTCGATGGTTGGCTCATCGATCTTTCTCTTGGCAAGCTCGAGCCTCGTAGTCAGCATCTACTTGCGCGTGCATGTGTTCAAACAATATAAGACAATATAAGAATCCATCAGAAAAACTAGGATGAAACTAGACATTCTCAAAGTATCTTGGTCCAACACCTTAAGCGTGAAAGCAATGGACAAGTTTCAGCACCTGGTCGAGCACTCTCTCGCCTCGGCTTCGGGTGAAAAGCACCCGCAGTCCAACATTTGCAGAAATCCACCAACCAAAACTAACTTGATGAGCATGTACAGGATTGTATCTAAACCTATCCAAACGTTCTTTAAACAACTGATACTGATACATGGTGAAATCAGCCTACAGTATCCTACAAGATCGTTTTCGTGCAATTTTCGTAGGCTTGCTAAATTGCAGTCAAGATTCGGTTGCTTCTGGCCTTTTGGCTGCTGTCTCTGGGAATGGAGCCGGTTGCCCATGGGGCCCAAGGGGACAAAAAAGGGCCAACCATGGCCAAACTCTTGTTTATTTATTGACATGATTTCTATTGATTTCTTGATCCAATATGATCCAACACACCCTGGATGCAATATGATCCAAAGAAACGTCGCGTCGCCCCAAATCTCAAGACCAGCGGCCATTGCTTCCAAAGAAAGCCTCAAGGTCTTCTTCCGACCAAAAACGTGCTTCCTCAGGAACCTGTCGGAGTGCACAAAACTTGACATTGAACGGTGTAAGATGTTAGTTCACATGCCAATCCCAAAAACGAAGCCAATGAACTTCTTAAGCAAGTCTTTCAGCTTTTCCTTTGTCCGAGTGGGTTTGGTGTATACAGCTGCACAACAATAGCCACCTTGCCCGAAAAGGCCGGGAATCGTCGCTTGATGGAATAAATCTGATCACGCTCAAGAGGCAACGCCAGCAGATTCATCCTGAATCGCAGCTTTCGGAACTCGAACGAGTTCAATACATAAAGCGCCTTTTCTAAAGCCTGCTCCTACTTAAGATTTTTTTGGGAAACTTAAATTTTGACAGCGGAATTCCAACTTTGATCTTCGGGACAAGTGCCTGACTGTAGTCTTCCTCACGTTTGTTTTCCTAGCACGTTGCCCATGTTGCGTGCACAAAATGCGCACAGCTTCCACAAACAAGCTGCTCATAATGCTCAAAATCTCTGACCACTGGCCGCACCAGCCATGAAATTGGATCGTGCTTGAGAGAAATGGCCAGCTACGACGACACAAATTGCAGTTGAGCAGGAACGATGCACACAACTTCCTCCCCTCTCTCTGTTGTTGAACCCCTGCTGGGCCTACTTGCTTGCAATACTTAAAATTTAGGGACAGCCTGAGTTTCTTTAAGCTTTGGCCATTTAGATATCAAATGCCATTGCCATTGATATTATATATACTGTATAGTATATCTAATAAAATACTGTATGTAGGTTCACGTAACTCCTAGCAAGGTGTGACACGACAACGTGCACATATGCGTTAGTCTCTCAGCCACAATTGCAACGTGCAGCATTCCCGGATTCCCTCTCTGCGCCTGAGACTTATGCGTTGCTCTTCCTGCCGCTCCTGAAGGCAAGGTGTGCTCCGCCGAAGGCCAAAACCAAGACACACCTTTTATATCCCCGTTGCTACCGACTACTGAGGTTCACCCCCCCCTTTCAAACAAATTGGTGTATAGTCTAAAATTACTGGCAAAACTTAAAGACCTTTATATAAACAGTGCAAAAAGAAAACCTCTTTCTGTCGTGACTGGATAATCTTACTGTGCAAAGAGTTCATCCGTGTCATCATGTGTCATCCATTTTATTTAAGACTCATTTTGGATACAGTAACCCTTAAACTAAATGAGTCAAATAAAATTGGTTTTCTGTGGTCGACCACACTGATTTTTGGCTAACCGGTAGCAACGGGGATCCTTTTATACTACTGTTACTATATCATGTAGACTGCTGATGAATACCCCCCAATATGGAAATGTAAAACCATTTTGGTAGGGGTGGTTACAGTATATATATATATATTGATCGACTGTCTACATGATTTGGCTCCTGGAACTCTTGCTCCACCTTCTTCCGCTCTTCCTCGCCTGAGGCTCCACGAACCGCGGTCCCGAGCTGGAGTCTGCAGTCTCTGAGTCCTCGGACGACTCTGCAGGAGCCTGTCGATGTGATCCGAAACTCATGTCCGTGCACTCCCTGAAATCTTATGGACGTGGATGGGATGGCTATGAAGGATGACCATTTTCCGAATACTAAATAAACAGGCTGGTGAACTCTGCTTCCATGTTAGTGACTCAGAGTGTAACTCCTATGAACTAAAACGTTGTCAATCGTTTTCAACCAGCCACGCAAACCAGATTGGTCGTCTGTGTTCAGGAATCTTGGCGTTTCTTGCAAGGTCCTGCTGTTTGGAAAAGAACGATGGGTGGGTGACAAGGTCTTCACACAGGGTCTCAACCTCATGCTGGGGCATGCATGGAGAAAATAGCCCGGGGTCGCCCCCATGCTGCCCCGTTCTGGAAGCTGTTGCGCTGAACATTCGGAGATCTGTGGTGTTTTTACACCAACAGCAGTTGGGCCATTGGTTTTGTATTGGAAATGCATCCAATAACCAACAAGAATTTCAGAAACTCAGATGGGACAAATTCTTGTCTCGTGTCTTCTCATTGGACATACATCCACGTGCCGCGTGTATGGGACCTCACTGACAGTTATACTCGTCCATTACAGTCCATCTGGAGGAAATATCGACATTGAAGCCTGGCCTAGCTGCTGGATGCTACTGGCATTGCAAAAGGACGGTCTCTGCTTTGATTCTTTTGCATATTGGTTTTGTAGGTTTCTATTCCTTTTGCGGGGGGCACACCATGTCGCAGCAACAGGGAATCACAGCAAGTAGAACTCTTGACGATACCTATTGACAGCGGGGTTGTTGCCGGTGCCATAAGGTGGTTACAGTTGGACTCTGTGTTGCTCATGCATGCCATGTTGACCAACAATTAAGTTTGGCGTTCGGTCACTCTGCATTCCTCAAATCAAGTTGTCATGGGGCCTGATGCCCTTCGCGCTAGGGATTTATTGCCAAATGTGGTAAACATGAAATAATACGTAAGGCCGTGCGAAACCGTGCCTCCGTTCAATCAGCAACTCCTTCCATGAAGCCATTATCATGCCTGCGACTGAAAGCTTCACCACAAGCTTGAACACATCACGGGCAATAGCTACTAATCCAACTGCTCTTCGTTGCTACTCATCCAATGCATTTCATTTGTCAAAGATTCTCCAGGAGCTTGGCCAAGCAGCACGTACTGGTGCGGATCGGCCTTCCAACGTTGCTAGCACAGCCAATGGCACAGCCCGGCTGCAGCGTCCTGCCTCTGAGGCCAATCCCAATAGGCTTCCACGCATCTTCGAGTTCTGCCTCCGGTGTTCCTGTCGGGCACGCAAATTGCCGGTGAAAGTTGGAGGCAATACCAAGCAATGCCATGTAGAATATCTTATTCACATTGACTCGCTATCACTCAGGTGTATCTTCTCTCTCAGTGACCACTATCATTGGTCTCCAGAATTGCTGACTTATCTTTGCCAATAGAAGCGGCGCGGGCAAATACATGAGAACATCTATTGTCAAATGATGACTGTGATAATCGTGATAGAAACAGAATCATTTTACTCTGAATATAAAACAGAAACGCTTCGACAGCGATTTGTTGTGTCCTCCACCTCTCTCAACAAATCATCCTGCAGTGGGCCACGTCACATGTTTCACGCACTTTCAGCAGGGTGCCAGCTTGATTGCCTTGACTATAAGGAAAAAAGCGCTGCCAGTTTGAGCCTGCTCTTTCTGGAGTCTTTCCTGCCCATGTGCCAAACGCTTATTTGTGTAAACCAAGTTCAGACTTGGAACGGCAAAACTGCTTTGACAAATCATTTCTCCTTCTCGTTCTCCAATTCTTTAGCCCGCTTACCCACCTTCCAGCTTGTGATCAAAACACTAATATGCATATCTCAATGTACAATGGCTCCTGATCCTCGGGACAGTTCAAATAACTGTGCATCACACATCTAATAACAAGGGGGTAGTTCACGCATGGTTCAATAGGTTCTGAGCAACTTGTGGGTGCCTCCATGTGCCTCCCATTGCAGTCTTCGAGAAACAGTCACGTGACGGGTATCACTCACGACCTCAAAGCCCGCCACGCTAGTCAAAGTGGACCATGAACGGAAAACTCCTTGAAGGTAGCTCAAGCGCTGCTCAGTCTGGCGCAAAGGACAAGGCAAACTTCGGTATTCTTCTCTAGTTCCGGATGCATCTGCCACAGGGCTTGGATAATGCCCCTAAGTAATGAACGGCCGGACTGCGCGTGTGGAAAGGGAAGGATGACCACAAGTCACCTTGATCTTCTTGATGATGGTCACTAATGATTTGGAGAGGAAGTTCCAAAGAGAACATGCACTCAGACCATATAATATGCAACTATAATAAGTATGAAGCCATGCATACAATATCATCATCGCACAGCATAGGTACATGGGTGCAGGTGCTCCTAGGCATGAACACCTCAATCGCAGGGGGTATGGGCATGAGAGGTGAGGCACAAGTGCGGCGAAGGTGTGAAGGGCGTGAAGCGATTCTCACCGGCTATCCCCTCCCGCTGTTGCACCCATCCCTCTTTTCATAAATCAAACTCTTGCTGGTGAATGGTCATGTCTCGCCTGCTGGCGTTTTCGTTCCTCTTTCTCAGCCAGCACCTGACCACTTGGAGCTCACAAGGAAGGCAGCCCTTGAAATTGCTGAAATCCAAGGAGTTTTGAGCGTGTCAGGATGTGTCAGGTAATTAATTCGGGGATCTTGCACAATGGCAGCTGATGACAATTCAAGACTGACCTCGCTGTGCCACGCTTTGAAGCTCCCGTGCAACAGGCCATGGTTGCCCTGCGCAAGCAAAAGGGAAAACAGGTTCCGATGTGGCCAGAACCTGTTTAGACTCATTTCGCCTATGCGAAATACTATGACTGCTAGCACCAATCAGCTTGAACGAGAAAAAGCAAACCCTTAAGGCTAATGGACATTGAAAAATAGAAATTACATGAAATTACTATTGTTTTGATCATACTCAGTGAAAGCTTGACTTCCTCAACATAACGTCAACCATTTTGCCCTCTGATGGCCAACTGCTTGCTCACACCCCTTTTCCATGCGCTCTTGTGGCTCTGGATGTCGAAGAAGTGCTACAGCAGTCAAACCGCAACGGTCAAATCCTGAGAGGTCAATCGCAACAGGTCACGCATCAACACGAAACGCGCCACGCGTTTCTTTTTTCACATCTAAGCTGATGCCACATGTCGAATCCCGGACATATACTTTGGTGGGAGAGCCCAAGAGTCTAGGACATGTGCAACATACTGGTCAATGCTGCAACTGTACATTCTTGACATTGTTCGTCTGCAACTCCCAGGTGCCCTTGTGTCTGCGTTGCACGTATGGCTGCCATTTGGCTTCTCAATCATTGTGTGGTCATTGCCTGTTGAGGCATCTAGGTCATATGAGAGACTCATATCTTTGGCCTTCCTTTCTTTCCAGGCCTCTTTCAAAGTGAACTTCCCGGTGATCTTGCCAAAATCCTGGTGCCAAACCAGTAAGAAGAAACACGAAGTAAACTGAGCAACAACCCTTCGTCAACAGCGAATCGCACTTGACTTTGGCCTTCGAATGCGGGTGCTTGGAACCTTGGCTGCGCAGGAGTCCACGGGAGACCATGTATGACCAAGAGCTCCTTACAGTGATCAGTCTGTAGTATGTCTATGGTATGTCAGAATTTTTCAATTTCCTTGCATCCAACACTCCCAACATCTGCAAACATGTTGGACTTCTCTTTGTGCATGGATGACTGGGAGATGAACGAAGCTTCTAAATCCCGCCAAACTCGGCAACGGGTGCATGACGACCTTTTCAGCTTAGTGAAACGAGGTGGAAGGTGCCTTTGGCTGTCGCTCCTCCCGTATCACTGGTGGCAGTCCCCAGCCGGCAGCCAACCATGCCTCTTGTGGTATGTCTTCTGTTCTGTAACGAGCCTCTGGCCGCATTTGCACCTGTGGAGCCTCCAGAAAAATCAAGGTGCTCAAGAGGAACAGCAACACTGATAGGATCAAGGCCGCCAATGCGATTTGAAGCTTCCGCCGTTGATGGCGCACACACCTTGCAAGTTCACGTCGGTTGCACAAACGGGTCGCTGTGATGAGCGCTGGCGCTTTCTTTTCATCCTCTGACTCTGGTGAGTCCTCCTCCTCCAGCTCCTCTGCCAAGGCCCCTTTGCGGGCACGTGCCACAGGTCTTTGTGGAGTTATGTGTATCCGCAAGTCTTCAGGTGCGCTATCACTAGAGGAGCTTGTGTCATCATCAGACGACAACCCACCAACAGCTGCAGACTGAGGAGGTTGTGGTGGCATCGTAGCTGGAAAGCCATGGATTTCTTCTTTGCTCAGCCTGGCCAGAACTCTCGCTTGGAGTGAGGCCGAATCCATGGCGTTTTCAGTTATGTCAGTTGTATTCTTGCTTCTTGTTCTGGTCAAGACGTGTCCAACTCCAATTCATCAGGGGAATTGTGGGTACACTACTTAAGCATGGTTGGCATTTCTGTGTCTATCCATCACCCAACTAATCTTCGGTTCTCTTAATATCTTTGATTGGAAACTCATCTCCTCAGAACAACTCTTGAGCAAGCAAACGCAAAAACAGGTTGCAAAAGCCGCTGCTCATATCAACAAAAACCAGCCAACATAAATGAACATCAACTGTTCAACATTCCTTCATATCCTTGCCCTGGCCAGTGGACTGGTCAAAAGGAAGCACATCAGACCCTAAAAAAGCAGTAGATGTAGATGTAGCCATGCTTCTAGTTTGTGCATTGTTCCAGCAGTTCGACGCACACTCTAAGCCCCGTGCCACACTCACCTTGGCAAACTTCAAAGTCAAATCTATATACTCCTGACATCCAGCAGCGGAAGCGCGTGAAAGTGGCAACGGACGACTTTCGAAAGGAAATGACCAAACACTGCCTGCCCGCCTTGCCCGGGCTTGACCCGAGTTCCCCGAAGAAACCCGGCCTTTTATGACACTTGTGGGAATTACCGCTCCAAAGCGTGCACGCCTGGCTTCCACACCACAGGATCATCTCCTGACGTGTGATCCTTAACCTGGCCCAATTGTTCATGGCAGCATGTTGAAGCGATGTCACGAGCTCAAATGAGTCACAACCAAACATGAACATTCTAATGTCCTTGCTCCTAGTAGCGATGCCAGGAGCCCCTAGTAGCTTCTTGTTTCGCTATGCTTCCATATGCTTCCCGCCTTCAGCTGAACACCCAGCTGCTGCCGACCCAAGTCAAGGCCTTTGGGAAGCAAAAAGCTCTGGCTGATGTCCGCGCTCACGGGGCCGTCCACCGCAATGCGGAACTCCCCCACACCTGAGGCCTGGGTGACCTTAGTGACGATTTCATGCCCCAAAATGGATATATCTGTCCCCGAGCCGTTTTTCCTCACAAAATAGAAGCTTCACCTTTTCTTTCTTCATCTGTTCATGCATAAATATGGCCCAAGATCCCCCAAGAAGGTCTAAGGTTAGGGTAGGATACAGAGTGGACGAACTCCCTTCAGATCTGCTCAAACAGTTGACTGATGCGTTGACTTAAGCCCAACATCGAGAACAAAACCATCTGGTATCTAAACATTTGAAGCAGCTTTTGAAGGCATGTTCAGTGGCGGCTTGAGGCATGTCCAGGACGAGCTAAGCCTGTTGTGGTCGTAAACCTTTTGGCTGGGCAAAGACACGGTGTCGTTGTCCCCACCACCACCCATCGTGAGACAAGAAACCATTTTCTCCAAGAGGTGGGCGATGTGCCTCTTTGGGCCATGATGCATCTGCATCCTACCCTAAGGCTCCCCCCAGTCAAGAACTGAATTTCTTCCAGTTCTCAACCAGGGTCGGAAGTGATCACCTTCTTCTAAGATGCATCACCTCCACCTTACATCGCCCCTTCACTTATGCATTTCTTGCATCGTTCAAGAGTCTCTTGTACCTCATCACCTTCAAACACTTGGGTGCAGTGAATGGCAGATTCCCTCCAAGGCCATCCACAAGAGGTTGTCCACCGGCGAACATCATTGTCTGTACAGCTCGCCGCTGCCACCGTATGAATTTTACCTGACTGGTGATTAATTATAGCAACAGGTATCATTGCAGCTCTAATTTCCCTTCTCAGTTCTGCTCGACTTGGTCCTACCCATTCGGTTGGGCTGATCTTCTCAAGCTGACTCTTCAGCCATTCTTCCGTATCTTGCACTGCAGTTTCGACTTCTTCAACTCTTGCCAAGGTGGCATTTGCCATTTCACACAAGTTTGAGATATCCTGCAGTCTGAGGTCAGCACGTGGTGCTTCCGCCCAAGCGTCTTCCACATATTGCAGAGTGACATTCGACGAATGCCTTGCCATCCACTGTATTGCCGTTAAAGGCATGCCCTGCCGAGCTAAATCCTTAGCTCCTGACCTTCTGGCAAAGTGCCCCGTCACCCGATCGATCTCAATCTCCTTTGCTTCCTTCACGGAAGACTGCATCAGGGTGCATAGTTTCTTCACCTGCGAGATCATCTTGTCTTTCGCGACTGTTGCTTTCGGAGTTTTGACTTGTCCCACCAGCGGTATGCCCAAACCCTGAGCCTCGCTTTGCCTTCTCATGCCAACTCTTTTCAGTTGTAGGTTAAGAAGGTCCAGGCCCGTGTGATAAGGGCAGATCGAAGGATGGGTTTTTCCACAAGAGCAGGCTAATGCCCGCCAAGTGCCCTTTGCCGACGGATCATTCTTTTGCACTGACAAATGCAATCCTATAGTCATTTGCATCGTGTCAATCTTCACACCTTCTTCGTCGATGGTGAGACTGGCCAACTCAGTCTCTCTGAGTAGAAACTTGGTCGCCAGCACCCATATTCGCAACCCACCTGCAGGTTCATCGTCATCGATGGCTATCTCACTTGGCTCCTTGCCGTGTTTGACGGAAACTTTGCCCACCAATCGAGCTTCACTTCCTCAGCTCTAGTCGGCGGTCCTAAAGCTCTCTTTGCAGCTCGTTTCGCATCCGTCAATGCCATCTGTAGTTGATCGTTCCACTCATATCCTGCACGCACATGCCGAGATTTGGCCTCGTACACGTACGAGCAGGCTGCTCTATATCCACTGGCCCGTAGTATGGCAGTCACGTCATTGATCTTGGCCTCCGTGAGAGGGAGACTGTCCACACGCAAACGACTACAGACTTTGTCCCATAGCCCGAACAACGAGTCCTTTGTGTCAATGGTCGTGGGTGCATACTTCAGGCTGCTAAACTGACGTAGTGCCAGTCTTCTTTCTTCCGCGTCTTCCGCTATCCGACAAGCCAACTCTGCTGACCCTCTCTTGCACAGCGTCTCAGGCTGCCAGGGTCCATTCTTTCTTCTTCTCTTCAGTACTTCACCTGCTGCTGTGACAAGCACTTCTTTATCCAGACACGGTTGAGGTGTCTGTGGCACAGGCGTACCAGGACACGGCGTTCTCGAACCCGTCATGGGAGTAGGTGTGCGAGGACATGCTGCCCTACCCCCACCCTTTGCCACCAACCTATCGTTGGGAGCCTTTCCAGCACTTGTCGCTTCCTTTTCACTCCAGCCCAATGCCCTCCTTGCAGCTACAACCGCAGGAGGTACTTCATCGATCAAGTATCCTTCATAAGAGAAGGGTACTACAAGTGGTCCCCTGGTTTGCTTATGCATTGAGCCGATGCCTAAAGTCACCAACATGTGCAAGAAACATCTGAATCCAACACAAGTAAGGAGCCTAGGCATCAACACCAAATCCTATCGATTCCAGTTCACAACTTAGGCTACGCTCAATATGAGCAAGGCTACGCGGCATGCAAAACAACACCGTTACACAGAAACAACTTGCCCCACAGTCACACTGTTCTAGTGCAACCATGAGGCGCTGCTCCCTTCACCCACATAACGGCGTTGCAGCGCGCGTAACCTGAGGACCGGACTGTAGAGCTTGAGGGTAAGGCCTCGCCACGCGATTCGAACAAACCGAAGCATGACAGAGATCCTACCCAAAGCATGCAAGAAACAGACTGCACAATGGTTTCAGTACAATCTGAGACCTGTTTTGGACTCACGGCCAAGCTCTGAAGTTATGCTTCTGTCTTGCGGGTGCATCGACCCAGGCTGCATTTCGAAGTTGCCACGGCAGCTCCATGTTTGATGAAGCGTCCATTCGACTGAGCTTGTCGGCAATGTCATTTTCGATGCCTGCCACATGCTCAGCCATCAGTGGTAGCAATTCCATCAATTCAACCTGGATCGAAATCTCTGCAGCCAGTTGGCTTAAGATTGGTGACTTTGCTCTGTATTCAGCTGCTGCTCTGAGTGCCGCAGTGTTGTCAGTGCGAATCAGCACCTGCGGTGTGATGGACTGCTCCCTGAGCCATGGTGCAAAGGCCTCGAGAGACATCCAAATTGTGAGCAACCCCCATTCGTTTTGGAACGACGGGTCGCCGACTTCCGAGTTCATCAGCTCCCTGTCCAGTGCAGTGACTTCAGTGTGCCAGTATGCTATGTACATCTGGCCCACTCGGAGAAAGCCTCCCATGCCAGCTGGACAAGCATCCGTTTGGATCAACACCCGGGGTGCATCCGGTCGCCATTTGAATGTCCTGCGAAGTCCAGGTCTCTGCGCATCAATTTCCTGCACCATTGCATTTAGCCACCTCAAGGCATTTGCAACCTGTTTGACAAACACAAGGCCTTTCCTCTCCCGGGCACGAACTCGGATAGGCTCTGGGCGTTGGTGCTGTGTAGCTGCGGCATACAGCATGGCCAACCAAGGTCGTGAAGACTTCAGTATGCTTGATGCCCAACCAAGCACACCAGTGGCATGTTGGAGCAATCGCAACGGCAACATGCCTTTGTAGGTAAGGAGCTCCTCAAAGGTGTCTTGGAGCTTTTTCCGCTTGTTTTCAGCCATTCTGACGGTGACATCTTCATTCGCCCGTCCCGACAGGCTAACCTCATATCCGATCCAAGGAACCATGTCTCCATGACAACCTTTGTGCCATGCTATATCCAGCCCAAGAGCTTGCCACACCAAGGTACACATGCAGAAACTCCTCATGCGAGCTTTTGCCGTGGGGCCCAAAACAGCCATCAACGGGTCATCCACATAGCATGCAATTGCTGCCTCATTGCTATGCATTACCGCTTGTGCCACTCTCATCGCCGCCGAAGCAACGCGAGCCCACAACAGCGGTCCAGCGGCTAGCCCGAAGACAACACACTTGCTGACATGGTAATCGCCGCGGCCACTCTTGAAGACTACATATCTTCTCTCCGAGGCACGTAGTGGGCACATGTAGAAGGCATTGGAGAAGTCTGTGGAGAACAACTCAAACTTGTAGTCTCTTTCAACTATCTCTCTTCTTTTGCTGGCTACGCGTTGCACTGACTTGACGAAGTCGGTCACCTTGGGGAGAATGACCCGTTCCCTGACGGTTGCCAGGCCGTTGACTCCACTTTTCCTGCAATCCACGACAAGTCGATGCTTTAGTTCTCCACTCTCTTTGAGCTTTGTGATGCACGCCAGCTTTGTCATCACAGCATCATCTCCGAACTTCTCTACTACCTGACTCCATGACTCAAACACTTCTGTTCTCCCTGCCTTCCGCATCTCTTCTAGCAGATCCTCTGCCGACTGTCCAGCTTCTTCAAAGCTGACATAGTTATTCAACTTGCCCTCGAAGTCACCTTGCAGCATGCCTTCAAGTCGTGACGCTTCCACCGCAGCTGAGTCTGTAGTGGTGGCAGGGAATATTCCTGTGTGTGTAATCGCTTCTTTGATTCCCAACGGAAAACCATTTGTCATCCACTCAGGTAGCGTGCTTTTGTCTGCATCATCCGCCTCCTCAAGAATCGCACGCCATAGGTCTGCCTGTAGTCCTTTGCTATCCTCCTGCGCCTTGAAGACTGTGCATAAGGCTCCTCTGACTTCTCTCACCCATTCCATACTGGTGCCTTTCTTCATGTCAGATGCCAATGCATCTATCTCCTCTTCTCTCATGTGCTGTTCTAGCACCTGCCTGATTTTCATACCTGTCTGTCTGAGTCTCAAATTCTTTGAGACCGCGGACTGTGGGTTTCTCAGTCCTCCAACTGCTTTCTTGTTCTCTTCCTCTCTTGTCTCCTTGAGCGTCAGTGCAATGCTCTTCTGGTCATGGGAGATCGACTTCACTGTCGTGGCCCTGACCAACACATTCTTCCATTTGCCAACCACCTTGAAGCTCCTCTCATCCATCCATTTCTGGCCCAACCGAGATTTGCGCCAGCAAACGAAGGCTTTGCTCCAAGCGAGGCATAGGCCACAAGGGTATTCTGCAGCCAAACTGGTTCTCCATATCCATCTTTCGGTGATGTAGTCCCAAGCCTTGCCACACAGTGATGTGGCATGCAAGTGATCACGTACTTCGTGACATAGTCTACGAACCAATTTCATCCACGTTGCACCTGTCAGGATACCTGTGGGTTTGACCGAAGAAGCCCCGTAGGCGCACTGATGCAAACATATGAGTTCCACACCGCGAATCTTCATGAGCTTTTGCATCGACTTCAACAGCCACAGATATGACATCCAGGGATTCTCGATGGCAAACGTTGATCCGCGTTTGTGCAGCATCAGGCAAAGCAACACCATTCTTCTGACCATTTCGTTTGATTCTTCTGCATCCGGATGGCCATAGCCTTCTGGTCGTGCTTCATCTCGCAAGATCTTCACACTCCCAAATCTATCACTCCTCCTAGCCATTGACATCGTTCTGCATGCCGGTGCGAAGTGAGCATGATCTAATTCATTTTCACAAAGGATACAAGCCGTGTTGTAGTCCTCCTCTGCGAGTATGTTCCACTCTCCAGCGTATCCATCCAAAGTAGCACGGACCTCAGTGAAGTCCTTGCCCACTAACTTCATTGCTTCCGAAAAGCCTCCCATACCCGCAAAGAACTCTGCGAAGACAAACTTTCGTGTCTTTTGCTCATCAGCTAAATTCTTTGAAACTTCTTCAAATTCTTCTTTGCACGCAACCTCCTCTGGTGGCAAGATCACCTTTTCACCTGACAAGTCTGCATGCAGGTCATGCACATGCATCATCCCTTCTTCTTCTCACTTGCCTTTGCCGTCACCCTTCTTCGTGCTCTTCTTCTGACACTGCACGTTCGGGTGTTGGCCCAAGCAAACCTGACACACATGGGCTCGCTGATCAGCACAGGGTTCACTGCAGGCTCCTGGCTGACCCTTAGCGAACTTGTAGCAAATCTGGTCGCCGTCGCGGTCCGTCACGAAGAACTGTCCGTACTTGCGGGGGTGTTGCATCTTGCCTTTCTCAAACGACTTTCCCCCTCCCGGACCACGCCAGCTGGATGACTCATAATTGCTCTTGTGCCAGCTCTGTATGTCCTGCATCTGCTGGTACTTCTTCCAATCCTCCTCACGTTTCTCTTTGTCACGACGTCTTTTCTTGGCTGCCTTTGACTCACCTTCACCATGTGGCTTGTCTGAGCCTTTGAGCTTTCCTCCCATTGCATCCTTTGCCGCTTCTGAGATGTCACTGAGCTCGGCGTCCATCTTGCTCATCCTGCGGCCGCCTCCTCCCCTGGCTATGAAGTTCTGTGCTGGGATCTGTACTTCTTGACTCCAGTATGCCTGATCACGAGCCACGTAGGTGAAGACGCCAATCCATGGTTGGTCTGCAGCAAAACTCAGATTCATAGGCAACCTTCCCTCAGCCGCTGCCCTAGTCAGGTTGCGACGAGTTCTCTCGAGGTGATCACTTCTGCAACGGTCCTCAGCCTGCATGAGAAGGTGCCAACACTCTGGATATTGCCTGTTCAAATTTGCGATGTTCCGGCAGTACTCATCAAGTGCAGCCCATGTCATAACTGCTTTGCGATCACCTCCAGGATGCACAGGGTCATGCTTCATCATGAGGAGGATGGTCCTGTACACGTCCCAGCATGAGCTCCAGGCCTCAAAGCTCGGTGGTCCAGGTACTTCACTTTGTTTCCATGAACCGTCCTCCTGAAGCATGAACCCCTTGGCCTTCATGTGTTTCTGGGTCCTCCTGGCGTACGGGGTTAGCACCGAGAAGTCTGCATAGGGGGCTGAACCCCTGGTCACCACCTTGTATATCATCACAGTAAGTTGCTCAATCGATGGCTCTGCTTCTTTGGGAGGATCAGCCCCCATGATGTCTCTGTACGTGCGGTAGGCCTCATCCACATCTATCTTTGAAATGACCTCCGACTCTGTGTCATCGAGTTGATCAGCGATCTGAGAGACCTTGATCTTTTGGATGCCCAAGGCTTTGGCCGTCACACCTGCACCTACAGGAAGAGGGGTCAAATTTGCACCAGTAGCTGTAGCTGGCCCCACAGCATTGATGGCATTGAGAGCACCTGGGGCCAAGATGTCAATGTCTTCCATGCCATAGGTCTGACGTGCAATCCGCCAGATCAGGGCTATCTGAACAGTCTCAACCATGGTCAACTCACGCATCTCAGGAGGATCCACAGGATTGCCATCGCCACCCAACCTAGGAAGTTGCATCGTGGCTAAAGCTTCCGCAATCCCATCAGGAGGGGCTTGACTCAACAGCCGGAGGTTCGGCCAATTGCCCAAAGCGAGATTCACCTGTCTCCAAGTGACGGGTTCCAAGCCTGTGAAGCGCACAACAGCGGCCAAGTCATTCAAGCCGGCTAACTCAACGGCCGTGGGCAGGGCACTGGCTGCCATAGCGAGGGTGGCGCCAGCGACAGACCGCTTTCGTCTTGACTCCACAAGCCTGAAATTCAGGGCAGAGGGTGTACAACCCACGGAGATACCACCCCAAGCCACCACCAAGAACGATCCCGACGGCCAGGATCGTCAGGAGGAGAATCTCAAACTCCTCCAGCATGTTGGAAGAGTCTTGAGCCAAAATGGCACGAGGGCCATTCAACTCTTAACGAGACTCGTGAACCACCTTCAGCACTTTCCCTTTATCTTTCCTACG